ATAGTTGGGAAATCATGGCGTATGGGGGTCTGGGTTCATGGTTTCCCGAGACGGCCGCGTAGCCATTTTGGCTCTGGCGCGGTGGCCTGGTGGGCCCCAGCGCGCGAGCCGATGCGCCCCTCTGGCCGCTGCTTTGCAGAGGCGGCGGCCGCGGCCCGCCCGCTGCTGCGCCTGCCGCCGCAGGGCGGCGAGGAGGCGCTCCTGGCGGCGGTCTCTCCGAGTTTTGCCTCGCCGCCGTAGCCGTTCGGACATGCGGGCCAGTTGTCTTCTCGAGTGCTTCTGCGTCGCAGCTGCTTGTTCCTAGATCTCCGCCGATCTGTCTTCCAATCTATAAGCATGGCGGCCGTTTTCGAGCCCTGGGGCGATCAACGTTGTTTCTGGGAGAATAGTTGCCCCCGTGGACGAGGTCGAGAGCTCTGGGTCCGCGGAAGAAGACATCATAGCGGCGGCTGTCAGGGCTTCTGCATCCCAACACCCGCTGATTCTCGAGGGCCGAGCAGGATGGCAGGCCAGTGTGCCATGTGAGGGCCACGTGCATGGGGAGCAGGATGGCAGGCCAGGGTGCCATGTGAGGGCCACATGCATGGGCCGGTGGCCGTCTCGACTGCTTCTGCAGCCCAGCTGTGCTCGCCCTCGAAAGAGCTCAGCAGGACGGCATGGCACACGATGCGGTTTGAGGGCCGCCGGCCCGACCGGTCGCGCTCTGGCCCCTCTTCCCTCCACCATACGGACACTGTAACCCAATACACCAGTCAACCAATTACTCATCTTCCTCCATGGGGCCGTGACCGAGATTCATCCCCCGCCGGCTGACGGTGCCTGTCAATGTCAGTAAACCATCGCATGCTGGCGTCAGATGCCAACCACCACATCAGTACACCAAGGGTGGCCCAGCGTCGTCCGTGTCATGGTGTTCCGTCAGGCATCCATGTCATTCATGTGGCGTCGCTGTGCCTCCCGTCCACTCCGTGCACCACGGGTCGCCCAGCCTCGTCCGTGCCATGGTGTTCCGTCAGGCCTCCATGTCAGTCATGCGGCGTTGCTGTGCCTCCCAAACATACCGAGGAGCATACCCTCCAACGCCACGGTCCCGTCAGGTTCCATGTGGTTTTTGGGCAGGTCATGCCCCCGCCCTCCCATACACCCGTCTGTGTTCATTCCCGGACGCGGGCTAAGTCAGGTTCCGCAGTACGGGGACGGGCCACGGTCCCCACCATCTTCTTTTTGCAAGTCGTGTCGGAGCCGGTGTCGGGCCAATAGAGGGGCTGGCGGATGGTGGCGGTGGGCACGCGGGCGGCCGTGTGGAAGTAAAGCATCTGGCCTCTTTTTCCGCTCCCCCTCCGCCAGTCTTGGCTTGTGGGTGCTGGTGGTAAGTCGGCGGCTGGGCGGCAGCCGCTTTCGTTGGTGCCATCTCCTGGCGGTCGGCGGCGGTAGGCTCGTGAAAGGGCGTGGAAGTAAAACGCCCTGTCGTTTTGCTGTTCCTTGTCCGTTATCCCGCGGACCCCAGGCTCGAGGCTTCCCCCCGTGGTGTCTTCCGTTGTGAGATCGGCTCCATCCTTCCTCGCCGCTTCCCCCACTCGTCTCCTCGTCCTCCTCCTCCGTCCCCCTGACTCCCGGCCGCTGTGCCAGCCGCGTAGCCGATGGCGTCTGCCCTGGTCACGGGTGCAACGTCGCGGGCTTCTGGGCTTTGCTTCGGGGGATGCCCCCCCTCCTCGGGCATGCTCTCGGCGGGGCGCGGCTATCCCCGGGGCTCTTGGTTTGCGCCTGAGGGGGGCACGTTTCGTCCGCCTCTGGGGGCGCAACAAACTCGTACCAGAGTATGCGTGCGCACTCGCTATTCCCCCCCGTGGGATACCAAGTGCGCAGCGCCTACTCAGTTCGAAGTTGAATCTGTGTGTGCCGTTTTTGTGTCTTGCCTCCCCCCTTTCAGGAATTCCCGCCTCAGGACCAGGACACATGGCGGACGGCATCGTCGCTACGCCCACCCCTCCCTCTCCCCCTCCCCTCGGCGAGGACCGTCACTTGGCCTCGCCGGTGAGGACACTCAACAGGCCTCACGCCCCTCGCAGCTTTCATCAATGGGGCTGCTTGGGTTCCCGCCCCCACCAGTCAACCTTCAACAAGTTTACCTTTAATTGACACCAGATGGGGGCCGAAGACTCCTTGAATGGACCCTCGGCCAACCAAAACGTCCATTAAAGGAGGGTCCATACGTACTTCCACCTTCTTCACACCGTAACCCAATACACCAGTCGACCAATTACTCAACTTCCTCCTCCCTTTTGGGGGACCCCGAGCGGTGCGGTGACCACACTGTGCGGTGAGCCAGTGGGGATCCGGGGTGGCCGCAAGGTTTTGGGACTCGGGTCGTTCTTCGAGGATGTCTCGGGCGACTGAGGCCTCCTTGGGCCCCCACAGCGGACCATGCGGTGCGGTCTGTGGGGGTTCCCAGGTCACCGCACGGTCCGTCAACCCCGAACTCCTCCCTCCTCCCCCCGCTCCCCGCCCTGGCGGCCCCCTCCCGGCCGCGTGGAAGGCGCCGGTGCTCCTGCAGCTCGCGTGGCGGCGCGGGGGGCGTCCGCTGGGGGGCTGCCCAGCGGAGGCGCGGGAGGCCATCCTCGGCTTCGCCTTCTCGAGGGCGGCGGGCCCGCGAGAAGGCGCTGCCGCCAGGGACGACGCCCCGCTGGGGCAGCGCCGGGAGGCCTTTGAGGGGGCGGTGCGGGCGCTGCTGCGCACGCTGGCGCCGCTGGGCACGGCCGGGCTGCCAGCGGGGCTGTGCCTGGAAAGGCGGGGCCTCAACAGGCTGCTGGCTCCGGCTGAAGAAGGGAGAGCGGCATAGACATGCACTTTCGGAGCTCCGCGCGGAGTTCTGGGGTCGGCGCTGGGCCGCCCTGTCGCGGCGCCTCCGACGCCGCCCCTGGCGCGTTCCGCGCGCCAGGGAAGGGGGGCCCAGCTCCGATCCAGGAAGTCCGCGCGGAGCTCCGAAAGTGCATGTTTATGCATTTTTTTCTTGTTCTGTCCGGGAGAGCTGCCCGGGTCGCCCGAGGCGGCAGCGGCCGCCGCCGCCGGCGCCGCCCGCTGCTTCGAGCGCGCGTCCTTGGAGACGTTCGACCGGCACCTGCTCGTCAGGAGCGCGTGGCGGGAGGCGGCGCGGGGCGGCCCTTGGCAGGCTGGTGCGGCGGAGTTCTGGTGCGTCGCGCGTCGGCGGTGGGAGCGCGCGGGCTCGGCGCGCTTCCAGGCGCGGGTCGCCCTGTGCGTGCTCCGCGGCGACGGGCACGAGGCGCTGGGCGAGCGGTTCTCCCCGCAGTCGGCCCACGAGTTCGAGCTGGAGCTGCGGTCGTCCGCCGCAGGCGGGGCCGCCGTCGAGCTGGTCGGATTTGATCCAGCGAGCGTACTGCGCACACTCTGCCGGGGCGAGGCCGTCCCCATCCCAGCGACGTCTCACCTGAAGCGGGCAGGGACGGCGCTGTTCGTGGGGGACACGGTGGATTGCGCCCCTGCCCGGGAGAGGTGCCCTGCGAGCCTCCTGGCAGCGACGGCCGCGTGCACCAGCCCTAGCTAGCCCGCGTCGGGATCACCCCTCTGCGGACTGCGCGACGAGAGCCCTGAGGGTGGAGATGGGACGCTGGACGTCTGGTGAGGCAAAGTATGCACCACCGTCCAGTGTCCGCAGGCCTGTTTTGAGCCTGAATTTGGTGTGTCTGGCCTCCTGGCCCAGCCTGGATCCGATTTTCACCAGGTTCTGTGCCAACAGTGGGCCTGAGGAGGCTTGGTGTTTTTTTTTTCAGGTCGAACCCATTTCAATACCAAAGGACCTCCTCGTCATCATTGCCCCTTCCCCCTACCAGATCTGCTTTCGAGCTCTTGCCGAGGGTTATGTTTGGCTTTTCTGCGGAGGCCCCTGGACACACCCCAACGTTGTCGTTGCATCGAAGTTCGTAAGCATATATTTCTAGGGGAACCCTTGTCTCACCAAATGTAAGTCGAACACGATTGCAGTGTAACGTATTTGATGTGTAGCAGTATCAGTAGCACTAGGACTGCTGGGGCACGCTGCATGTTCAGTAACTGCGTTACCTTGAGTAACGTGGAAAATGTGAACTTACCAGTGAGCGTGCACGTGAACATCATCGTGATCGTACGCGTGTGTACATGCACGCAGCCGAAAGTGTCAACTCACTCGTGCGATAGTAAGTCATAGTGATCGAACTAAAGCCAGCGAATCATAGGCGAACTAATGTAATGAACACGGCAATTGTACGCATGCTGGTGCGCGTATCAATGACATACACGCAACACGTAAGCTTCAACGCAACCGCACACGTAAACGTACGCGCAGCACAGTGGTGGCCAACATGCGTCAGGAGGAGCGAGCACGCGCTAGTAGATGCTAGCAGGCGCCATCAAGTGCTGATATGCGCAATTGTGAGGAAGTCTGCGCTACATTAGTCGGGTCAAGTGGGCGCTCTCAGGCGCTAGAAGGCGTTGGTGCGCGGTAGTCGGAGATGGCTAGAAGGCGCTCGTTGGGCGCCAGTGGACGCTGAGGCATTAGTAATCAAATGTAGGCGCTCTTAGGCGTTAACGCACGCAAGCAGGAGCCTACTCATGGTACCCATGGCCAGGGTGATGCTTCAGAGTGCTGGAAGCGTTGGGAGTTCATCACACGTGAGGGGCGCTCGATGACTGGATATGACTACTAGTTGCCTTGGTCGCACGCTGCACTGCACGGGAGGAGTGCGAGGGAGTGGGAGGAGGGGGAGTGGGAGGAGGAGGAGGAGGATGAGGAGGAGGAGGAGGAGGAGGAGGAGGAGGAGGAGGAGGAGGATGGGACGGAGGAGGAGCAGGAGCAGGAGCAGGAGGAGGAGGAGGAGGAGGAGGAGGAGGAAGAGGAGGAGGAGGAGGAGGAGGAGGAGCGGAGGAGGAGGAGGAGGAGGAGCATAAAGGAGGAGGCAATGGGGCAGGGGGAGGCTGGGTAGGTAGGCGGGCGTTTGGTGCGGGAGGTGCCCGGGCTGGACCCGGCGGTGGCGGCGGCGCTGCACAGCCTGGGTCTGCCGCCGCAGTTGCCGCCGAGCGCCTCGCTGGGCCCGCAGGCCTCAGCCGTCAACTCGCGCTTCTCTCCCGATTTTGGCCTTTTGGCCTTTCGCCTGCTAATCGGGGTCAGCGTTTTGGGGTCAGGGGTTGGTGAGCCATCTTTTTTGGACTTTCCTTGTGCGGGGCCGCATGTGAAACCGCTGCATGCTTTTAAGACGATTGCCCGCGGCTCTATGGAACGCTTTGAAAGCGACTCGCCCTCCATCCGTGAAACTGCTCCAAACTGCTTAAAGCCAATGCGAGCGGCGCTAAGGCGAGAGCCACATTGTGAAAATCATCCGCTCTCAATCCGTGAGTCTAGTGCAGAATTAGACGAATGTGCGCGGCGCATAGATGAGAGCAATATTTTTGAAACCACCCGCTCTCCATCCTTGAAGCTGTTGCATACTGCAGGATTCAGGATTGTAAGTGGTTCGAGTGTCTCAGGCGAAACGCCTGGGCAGCCCTACCGTCACGTCTGGGGGTGCGGCAGGGATGAGTTATCTATTTGGAAAATTAATGGAGGAGGTGGAGGCAGTGAAGGTGGTGGAGGAGGAGGAGAAGGAGGAGGAAGACGAGGAGGAGGAGGAGGAGGAGGAGGAAGAGGAGGAGTGAAGGAGGAGTGATGGAGGATTGATGGAGGAGATAAGGACGCAGGGAGGGCGGAGGAAGCAGTAAGGGAGGAAGGGAGGAAGGCGGGAGGGAGGGAGGGGGGGAAGGAGGGAGGAAGGGAGTCGCGGCAACCAGTATGAGCCGCATGCTGTCATCGGGTCCCCTGTCCGCGTGTCCCGGCGGGGGGGAGGCGCGCGGCAGTAGCTGTGGCGTGACTCCTCAAGCGCGCGAAGGTAGGAAGCGTGGTAGGACGGAGTAAAGCGTGGGGTGGATGTACCAGGGAGCAGGGAGGAAAGAAGTCGGAAGGGAGGGAGGAGGGAGGAGCCACGACGGTCGGATCGAAAGCGCAGCGCCGACACAAGCCAGACGCACACTCGTGCAGAAGGGGGAGGAGGAGGAGGAGGAGGAGGAGGAGGAGGAGGAGGAGGAGGAGGAGGAGGAGGAGGAGGGGGAGGAGGAGGAGGAGGAGGAGGAGGAGGAGGAGGAGGAGGAGGAGGAGGAGGAGGAGGAGGAGGAGGAGGAGGAGGAGGAGGGGGGGGGAGGAGGAGGAGGAGGAGGAGGAGGAGGGAGGAGGAGGAGGGGAGGGGGAGGGGGAGGGGGGAGGGGAGGGGGAGGAGGGGAGGAGGAGGAGGAGGAGGAGGGGGAGGAGGAGGAGGAGGAGGAGGAGGCGGAGGAGGAGGTGGACGAAGAGGAGGAGGAGGGCTAACGCAGTACCAGTCATCATTGTCACGCTTATCGAACTCGGCTGTCCAGGTGCGATGCGCGCACGCAGACGGGTGCGCCCGTGCATATCAAAAGCGGGCCCCCGAGCGTGCACCCCGTTCGTGTCACCGCTGCGCTTTCGATTAGGCCGTTTGGGATCCTCCATGCTCACTGCCACCTACATCCATTGTTTCTCCTCCATCCCCTCAATCTCCTCCTCCCTTTTCCCCTGCTCCCTCCCCCCTCCTCTGTTCCCTCCTCCCCTTGCCCTTCCCCCTCCCCCTTCTCCTCCTCCTGCCCGTTCTCCTCCTCCTCCTTCTCCTCCTCCTCCTCCTCTTCCTCGCCCTCCACTCCTCCTCCTCCTCCTCTCCTCCACCTCCACCTCCACCTGCACCTCCATCTCCTCCTCCTCCTCCTCCTCCTCCTCCTCCTCCTCCATCCCTGTTCCTGACACATAAACTTCTCCTGTCGCACCCCCGACCGTGTCGGCAGGGCGGCCAGGCGTTTCGCCTGAGATTTCCTCACCATTCATGGTTCCGAAGCTTGAAATCAGCAGCAGCTCCACGGATGGAGGGCGGTTCGTTTTCAACATGTTGCTCTCGTCGTGGCACCGCGCACATTCGGTTTTAGCATCCGGAGCATTTTGGAGGACCCAGGGCGGATGGTCTTCAACATGTGGTTCTCGCTTTTTCCGGGGCGCACATGTGCTTTAAACCTGTACAGGGGCATCAAGGATGGATGGCGGTTAGTTTTTTGTTTGTTTCTTTTTGTTTTATTTGTTTTGTGTGTGTGTTGCTTGTTTATATATATATATATAGATGTGCGCACCCATGCGGCTTTCGCTTCACACCGCGCAGCGCACATTCGCTTTAAACTTCTTTAGCAGTTTCAAGGAGGGAGAGCGGCTGCTTTTCAAAATGCTGCGCTCTGCAGCGCCGCGCGCATTCTTTGTTAAAGCTTGCCGTCGTTTCAAGGGTTCGTATGGTTGAAGTCCCAGGAAGTACGTTCTGGCACGATGGCGGGGTTGCAGCACGCATCTGTCGCGTTGATTGGCGGTTTTGAAGTCCCAGGAATGGTGTTCTGGCACGGCTTTAAGTTGCCAGGACGCAACACTCACGTCCATTCGCGTCGTTGCCAGTCATTATTGTAGGGACCACCATGAAGCAGGAGATGGGAGGGAGTGCTTTGTTTGAGACGTCGTTAATGCGCCTTGACCTTACTCTGGTCCTCTTCTTTCTCCTCCTCTTCATCATGCCCCTCTCCCTCCTCCGCCTCCTCCTCCTCCTTCGGAGGCCTCCAGGTCCCCCCTTTCCGGAGGCTCTCGGATTGGGCCAGAGGCACCCCCCTGCAGAGCGATCTAGACAGTCGCTCGCAGTAGCGGAGAGATCCAAGCTCTACTGAGGATTCCGGGCTCTTTTTTCATTTCTGCATTGCATTGTGTAGCAACTCCGACAGCCAGTGGATCGTCAGCCTCTTCCTCCTCCCCATCCCCCTCTGCCTCCTCCTACTCCTCTCCGACGCTGCGCCTCCTCCTCTCCCTCCTGCTCCTCCTCCTCCCCCTCTTCCCCTTCCTGCTCCCCCCTTCTTTCTTCCCCCTCCTGCCCCCGGCCGTGCCGCGACCCTCCGCGCGCCCGAGGTTTAGGGGAGCAGCAGACCACGCCTGAGCTGGCTAGGCCGCGGCCTCCGCCGCGCCGATGGCGCAGACTGCGCGGGCCGGTAACCTCCGGCGGCGGCGGCGGCGCGCGGCCGTCCGACACCTCCGCCCCCAGTCGTGGGGCGACGAGATCTACACATTGTTCATTTCTAATTCATCGAGGGTTCTTTGATTTTCTTGGGGGGGCCAGGATCCGTTCATTTCTCATTGTTCTATCCTGGGCCCCGCCCTGGCCACTAGGGGGCCAGGAGCAATCAGAAGCGAGCACAATAAGAGACGAGCGCGATCAGAAATGAACGACGTGTGTGCACATCCGCTGCGCCCGTGGGCGGGCCCATCCTGGGCCCAGGATCGGTGCGCATGCCTCCCCGCCCCGGCCACGGGGGGCCCAGCTCCGGGGCCCAGGATTGGGCCTGCCAGGAGCGGTGGGTGTGCGCAGATCCCGTGGCCCTGGAGTCGGGCAGTGCCAAGGGGGTCACCACGGGGGGAGGGTCGCCTCCCCATGCAAATCGAGGATCGAGGAGACGATAGGATCGTGGACCGAGGGCCGAGGAGGTTCTGGCGTCCTTGGTCGTCGTTGGAGGTCCTCGGGGCTTCTGCGGGTCCAGGGGGTCCCTCTCTTGGAGTGGTGACCCCGGCAACCCGCTTGCAGTGGTGACCCTGGCATTGCCAAGGCCTCCCTTGCCTCCAGATCCACTCAAGAATCACGCTCTCGCTTTGGATTTCCTCGCGACTCACTTGGGAATCGCGCCATCTCTAGAGATTTCCTCGCAGTTCGTGTGCAGGGCTGACACTCAAGTGTCCCACCCGCCCGACGCCGTGTGGGCCCGCCCGCCCGACCCACCCCGCCCGTCTGGTTCAGCCGTTTGACTTTCTGCTCCTAGCCCCCCTCGTGCTATTCCCAGTCGTGCCCCATACTTCAATCTCCCCGTTGTACCTTCCAGCCTCCCTTCCCCTGTTTTAGGGGCTCCCCCAACTACACGTGGCAGGTAAGAAAGACGTATCCTCAAGGGCGGTATGATTGACGAGGAAGAGGGCGGGTATCCAGGGTTTGGGATATACATGTTTAATGGCACGCTACGTAACGTGTAAAAATGAACATACTCAAACGGTTTGTTGCTGATGTTGTTGTTGATGCTATTGTTATTGACTTTCCGATCTAGATATCGATTATCATTATTGACCCGGTGGCCAGTTCATGTTTCAATTGCAGTGCTTCTTTTGGGGCTTGCACTTTGTTTTTGCAAGGGGACGTCCTGCGGTTCAGATAAAGCCCCTGGACCCCGATTTACAGCAACAGCGATTTCCGTGTGATGCCTCCGCTGTATGTATTTCAACATCGCGCTCTCGCGAGATACCTCCTCACAAGCTATGCAAGAATCGCGCTCTCGCGTGGGACTTGCTTGCAATTTATTGCGAAGGCCTTGCGGTCGGTGCCGCCGACGTTGAAGGACGACGGCGACGATGATGACGACGAGTCGAACAGAACAGCGTATTCCACATGCCGCAAGGGTCGGCGGATTCAGACATCGCGCCCTCGACACTCAGGAATCGCGCTCTCGTTCTGGTCTGTCTGACGAATTTCTTGGGAATCGCGCTGTCGCTCAGGACTTCCTCGCGGTTCCTGCATGACTCACGCTTCAGCATCCCGCCTGCTCGACCTGGCCGCCTGGGCCCGCCTTCCCGACCCGCCCGTTAGGGTCTACCCGCCCGATTTGCTTTTCTGGTTCTGCCACGTGTTTTCTTCTATTATCCCCCTTTTCTGCTAATTTCTCTCGTGCTCCATCTTTCTCTCTCCCCCTTCCATCCGTCCTCTGTTCCACTGTTTTAGGGGCTGCGCTGGATACGCGTGGCAAGTAAGGCAGATCTACTTCAAAGGGGGGTGCGATCGGGGACGAAGAGGGCGGGTACCGAGGGTTCGGGATATGCATGTTGAGTGGCTCGCGAGCAGATCGGAGCGAACAACCTTAAACTGATTGTCGTTGCTGTTGCTGCTGTTGATCTTCCATCCTTGAAGAATGATTATCGTTGATCCCCCCGATTGGTGCACATTGTGCTTTCCAAACAAAGTGCCCATGTCGGGGCTCGCAGCCGGATGTTCATCAAGGAGCGTCTTCTTGCTATAATTGTGTGGGCAGGCCAAAAACCACAACAACCGCTCCCGCCTGATGAGTCCTCACAACAAATTATAACATCGCGCTCTCGCGCGGGACTTCCGTACAATGTATGCAGGAATCGCGCTCTCGCGTGGGACTTCCTCGCAATTTATTCAAACGCCGCTCCCTCGACGCTCAGGATTCTCGCTTTCTCTTTGGTCTTTCTCACGATTTACTTGGGAATCGCGCCAATGCTCGAAACTTCCCCACGATGTATGCAGGACTCACGCTTCAGCAACACGCCTGCTCGACCTGGCTGCCTGCTTTCTGCTCCTAGCCGTCATCCTGCTAATTTCTCTCGTGTTTCATACTCCTTTCCTCCCTCTTCCATGAGTCCCTGTCTTCCCCTGTTGTAAGGGCTGCGCTAAATGCACGTGGCAAGTGAGGAAGATTTGCCTCCAAGGGGGTACGAGCGAAAACGAAGAGGGCGGGCACCGAGGGTTTAGGATACACGTGTTGAATGACACATGAGCAGATAGGAGCGATCAGTCTTAAACTGATCGTTGATATTGCTGTTGTTGTTGTCGTTGTTGGGCTCTCACTACTGAAGAATAGTTATTGTTAATCCCTCCTCCGGTGACCGTTGTTCCTCAATCAGAGCTTGCCTCTGTAAGGGTCCTAGCGGATTCATTTGGTTAGGTGAGGGGTTGGCGCCGATTTCGGCGTCACCCCCGGTGATAAGGAGGTTGTGGGGGGGGAGAGGGGGGGGAACCAACATCTGACTCAATCGATCTCACTATCGATCTCTCTCAACGGGACCCCACGGGACGCCACGGGACTCTTGTCGATCTCACTATCGATCTCACTATCGATCTCATTCAACGGGACACCACGGGACACCACGGGCCACCACGGGACACCACGGGACACCGCGGGACGCCTCTCGATCTCACTATCGGTCTCATTATCGATCTCACTATCGATCTCGCTCAGCGGGACACCATAGGACACCACGGGACACCTCGGGACACCACATCGATCTCACTATCGATCTCACGATCGATCTCACTATCGATCTCACTCAACGGGACACCACGGGACACCTCGGGACACCTGTCGATCTCACTATCGTTCTCACTATCGATCTCACTCAGCGGGACACCACGGGACACCTCGGGACACCTCGGGGCACCACATTGATCTCAGTATCCATCTCACTATCGATCTCACGATCGATCTCATTCAACGGGACACCACGGGACACCACGGGACACCACGGGACACCACGGGACACCATCTGACACTGGCGGGACACCGCTCGGCACCGGCCGCTGGAGGAGAAACATTTGGTCCGGCCGCGGTCCTGCCACAGGAGGATTTCGGGACACCCGCGGGACACTGGCAGGACACCGCGCGGCACTGGCCGCCGGAGGAGTTATATTTGGTACGGCCGCGGCCCAGCCACAGGAGGATTTCCTCTCGCCCGCCCACGCAGCTTCGCCTCGCCCGCACGCGCGCACGGCACGCACGACACGAACCCGAAACCGAAATCGATTTACCGGTACGGGGGGTCTCCGTTTCACGTCGGACTCACCCCCAAACTTCCGATAGCCCCATAGCCCTATAGCCCTACAGCCCTATAGCCCTTTAGCCCCATAGCCCTATAGCCCTGATAGCACTATAGCCCCATAGCACAATAGCCCTATAGCCCTAATAGCCCTATAGCCTTATAGCCCTCTAGTCCGATAGCGCTATAGCCCTACAGCCATATAGCCCTATAGCTTTATAGCCCTATAGCCCAATAGCCCTATAGCCATACAGCCCTGTAGCCCTATAGCCCTATAGCACTATATCCCTACAGCTCCATAGCCTTATAGCCCTATGGCCCTGTAGCCCTATAGCCCCATAGCCCTATAACCCTAAAAATATGATGATCGTTTTTTCTCCGGCATCATATTTTTTCAATTGAAGTGCTTTCCCCGGGGCTCGCACCCAGGGAAAGTCATTCGGCTCAAACTGCTCTGTTGGCCCCCGGATTACAACAACAACGGCTCCCGCTTGAGACTTCTTCACCATTTAGCCAGGACCCCAGTTCCCGCCTGAGACTTCCTCGCATTTTACCAAGGAATCGCGCTCTCTCTAGGGACTTCCTTTCAATTTACTCAAGAATCGCTCTCTCGGCCCTCTGGAGTCGCGCTCTCGCTGGAGACTTGCTTGCAGCTTACTCAAGAGTTGCGCTCTTGCGTTGGAATTCCCGCAATGTACTCAAGCACCGCGCTCACGACATTCGGGCACCCAGGAGTCGCGCTCACGCTTAGGACTGCCTCACAGCTTGTTAGGAATCGGGACCTCGCTGCACTTCGTGGCCCCGTTGCACCCCTTCGTGGCCCCGTTGCACCCCTTCGTGGCCCCCTCGGTGCCCGTAGTGGCCCCGTTGCGTCCCTTCGTGGCCCTCTCGCTGCCCTTCGTGACCCCGTTGCGAACCGTTCGTGGCCCCCTCGCTGCCTTTCGTGGCCCCGTTGCACCCCTTCGTGGCCCTTCGGTGCCCTTCGTGGCCCCGTTGCAGCCCTTCGTGGCCCCCTCGCTGCCCTTCGTGGCCCCAGATAGGTATGCCTTTCGCGGCCACCGCTCGTTCGCGCCCGTCGTGGCACCATATGCATGCGCTTCGTGGCCCCGCTGTCACCCTTCGTGGCCCCCTCGCTGCCCTTCGTGGCCCCGTGGCTGCCCTTCATGGCCCCGTCCTTGCCCCCTGCGGTCCAATATGCGTATGCCCTTAGTGGCTCCCGCTTGTTCGCGCCCGTCGTGGCCCCATGGGTATGCCCTTCGTGGCCCAGCTGTCGCCCTCTGTGGCCCGCTCGCTGCCCTTCGTGGCCCCGTTGCTACCCTCAGTGGCCCCGTCGTTGCCCCTTGTGGCCCCGCATTATCTGCCCTTCGTGGCCCCCGCTCGTTCGCGCCCTTCGTGGCCCTATACGCACGCCCTTCGTGGCCCCGCTGTCGCCCTTCGTGGCCCCCTTCCTG